TTTTACCAATTCTCAAGTATCCTGGTTTAAAAATGGCTTGCGGATTTGCATTTTAAATCTTAATTTTGTTTATTTCAAACGTTGCAAAATTTTATTATAAGTTTATTAATCTCATTTTAAAATATCTTGTTTTGAGTTTATAAAGTAACCAATAAACAAGCGCAATTGTTTTAAGAAGCCAATAAAGTTTTGTTAAATCGTTTACACGCATTTAAACTTAGCAAATCTTTTTAGTATTTAAATTTCTTGTTTGTATTTTAAAGTTAGTTTTAAAATTAAATTTATTTAAAAGTAGGTTCAAAAATAAAACTGCAATTTAAAGATATCTTTTAATATCAAAGGAAAATACTTATGATTATTATATCTAGAGTAATGTTTTAAACTGTTTATATTACATAAGTTTTGATTTGCAATTTCTGAAGTAGATTAAAATATAAAACTTTTCTATGGAACTAATGGTTTTACTCAATTCCTGAGTTTCCTGAATTCATGGCCCCCGAATCTTTTCAAAAGAGTTTTATTTTTTCATTTTTTATCAAAGCAGGTTTTTAATATTAAGTTTTGATATTTTAGGTTTTTTTGATGCTTTGGCCCCCACTAAAAACTCACGTCGTTGCCCATTACTCTAAGTGTAATACCTTAATACAGTTTACATATATAATTAATCTACAAAAATGCCGAAAGTAAAGGTTGCAATTACACGGATGAAAAGTGAAAAAAAATATTGTAGCGGCCCATGTGAACTATCAACAACAGATCCAAGCACTTTTAGACAGGTTATTCAGTATTATTACTATCTTATTCATACAAATCCAAATGCAGATATCGTGTTAGTGACTCAGCAATTTAGCAATAATATAAAATCAATATGGGCTGCAGTAAACCCAAGATTACCTCTTATAACTGACAAATCTATTAATAGGAAAGTTAAAGATCTTCTCGTACTTGTTAAGGATATTAATCGCAAGCACCGAAAAGCAAGCGCTAAAAGAAATCTTGATGCAAACTTGGACAAACTTTTTGATATTTCTGTGTGTTCCTGTTCATTAGATGTGTTTCCCTGTTGTGACAGAAAAGTTTCATGTAATAAAGAAAATTGCATCGAAGAACATATTGTATGCCTTTGTTCTCAAAGTAATAAAGTACCTCTGAAAGACAGAGCTTATCTTTGTGATCAGAGAAAAAAAATTGGTCCAAAAGGTGCATATCAACTTTCCTCCGCCGATAGATTATCTGTCAAAAGGATTCAAAGACTTGATAAAGAATGACAAAAAATATCTCATAAGCTAGTTAATGAAGTTGAATCCCTCATATCACAAGTAAAATTGTTAGTGAAGAGGTGGACTCAGAACAAAAAAAAACATTTAATTTGTCTTGGGGTTAACAGCAAGTTCGATCAAATAACTAAAAAAAGTATAGTAATAAACTTACTTCAAGGAGAAGTACTAAAGAAATGCATTGAACCTGAACATCACCTCACATTTACTTATGAAGATGGAAAATTATTTGACTCATAGGATGATTCCTGTCACCGGTGCTACAGGTTTAGTTCTTGAAACCGAAACGTTTAGTGTTTTACAAGAACATAACAGTTTGGAAAGTATACAAGCTGTTCTTCTTGATAATACTGCTACCAATACTGGACCAATAAGTGGCTTAGTGGTAAAACTAGAAGAGTTTTTGAAAAGAAAACTACATCTATTTGGATGCGCATTACATCAAAATGAACTTCCGTTACGAGCTCTTTTTGTAAAACTTGATGGTGACACAACTGGGCCAAGAAGCTTTAGTGGTCTACTTGGCAAAAGATGTGCTGAAAATATTCAGGATAGAAATCAAGTTTTGTTTAATTGTATTGAAAACCCAATTGTAGATGGATATATTCCAGAAGAAATACTAGTAGACCTTAGTTGCGATCAAAGACTTTTATTTGAATATTGCAAAGGGATAGGCTTCGGTAAAGTTTCTGATAAATGGGCCGCCTATAAAATTGGACTGCTTAACCATGCAAGGTGGTTAACTCTAGCTATTCGCCTTCTCTGTTTGTATACTAGAGACAATCAACCAATTAATAATCTCCCCTTTGATGATGTTAAACATATTGTTAAAAAAAACATTAAAAATAATGCATTGTGCCTAAAACCTGAAAATATTTTTTATGCCATGTTTAAAGATAATGACAGCAAGATAAAAAACTTTGGTTTTCAAATCCTACTGGGTCTGTGGCAAAGGTATTTTTTTTATAGTAAAATAGAATAAATTTTTGAAAAAAAATGATACATTAAATGTGGTAATTGGGTTTGATTTATATTTATAGAGTAAACAACGAAAGTTTGGAAGTAAATTTGAAAAAAATTCCAGAAATTAATTTTAATGCTAATCATTGGTATGAGTTGGTAGATATCAACATTACTAAATTTACGGACAATAATGTTAAACCTGAAATCCCAGACTTTCCATCTCACTCCCAGAGTGTTGAGCGAGCGGTAAAACTTGTGTCGGATGCATCCCAATATGTTTATGGATTCGAGAATCGACACAGCTGCATTTTAAGTAAACTACTTAGGAGGAAGATGCGTAAACCATATATTTAAAAAGGGCATTATTCCCATTCTTATGATGATATTTTTTAATTGAAAATGTTTTCCTAAAATATATATATCCATAGCCAAAATGTTTTAAATTGTGAAAATAATGTTTATTTTGATATTCTTATGTAAATATAAGAATAAAGGTTATTAAACATTTTTCAGTCTTCTAAATTAATTAAACAAAAACACAAAAAACATAAAGTTTACATTTTATGGTAAAAACTAACCATTATTACAAATTAACATAAACTTTTGTTTGAAATCGATGGTTAATAAACCAGATCAGAAAAATTTTAAAAACTTGAATATAGTTTTTCTTTTTTAAATAATAGCTTGCCTAAACCAAATCCTTGCATGTTCTACCTATTTGTCAGTCTATGTAGCAGCACTCCTTGCAAGTTCTACTTATTTATCAGTTGATGTAGGAACACTCCTTGCATGTTTTACCTATTTGTCAGTCGATGTAGCAACATTCCTTGTCTGTTTTGAAAATATTATAAAACAATAAAAAAACAAAAAAAAATTAATTTTTTAAACTTTCTATTTATAATTATTGTGGCTTTTTTAAAAACAATAAAAAAATAAAACACTAAGAAAAAAATAAAAAAAACGCCTAGAATATCATATTATGTTTTTTCATTATATAAATTAACTTACCGTATATCGTCGGGTTGCTGGCAGAAGTTGGTAAATACATTTTTTTGTAAAATGATATTTTTTGATATTAGTCATCACTTGGTCAATATCTTCATCTGGTAAAAACTTGTAAGTGATATTACAAGGATAAATTACTCTTTATCATAGTCAAAATAAATGTAAGTGCTCCTAAGATCAAAATAGAACAGGCTAAGATTTGTAACATCAATTACTGACTTCTGTGATTAGGTTTTGCTCACACTATGGGCAATCATGCTTGGTAAAGTCACTTACTTATTTTTGCCTGACATATTTTGAAATTAATCCCGTATGGTGGCAGCACTTACCATAAAACCCAACTGCCATTCCTGTCAAATTGGTGTGTGTGCTTTTTGCTTTGATTGAAGATTCATATTATTTGGAGTATTTTAAACAGTGTAAAACGTAATTTATTCATTTTAATTTTTTTGTAACATTAAAGAACATGTCAAATACTAAATCTTGTGAAATAAACAGTTTAAAATACACTTGATAGTGATGAAATTCAAATTGCTCCCCTTAAACGTACTCGCTGGACAATATCTCATCCAGAAAGTTGGTTGGTCAATGTAAAAAAAGGTAAACGCAAAAATTATTTACCTTATAAATCAAGGAAAGGAATTGAAAGATCAGCAAAGCAACCAAAAGTGGCATGTAATAATTCATGTCACTTTAAATGCTCACAGGTATTTACTGAAGAAGAAAGAATTTAAATATGTAGAACTTTCTGGTCATTGGATTATGATAGGCAAAAGGATTTTTACATTGGTAATATAGAGCAAAATTTACCTATAAGAAAGAAGTTGCAAACAACAAAAGGAAATTGACAATTGTCCAGGTCTTATTTCTTCAAGAAAAGTGATGCAAACGCGTGAATTTGTCAAACTTTTTTTAAAAATACACTAAGTATTTCTGATGGACCTATCATAAATGCTTTTAAAACACGGAGCAATATGGAAGTATTTGAAGGACCAGATAAACGAGGTAAAAATATAACCTCAGCAGATTCTCTAAATTTTGTTAAATCATACATAGAAAAGTTTCCGGTAATGGAATCACACTATTGTCATCGATCAAGCGAAAGGCTTTACCTTGATTCCAAGCTTTCAATTGATGAAACTCAAAATTTATAAAAACCTCCTTATTTTGTGAAAAAAATTATTTTGCATCTGTATCTTTATAAAATAATAAACATCTTATGATTACTGATTTTTAGAGTTCTTCAAATATCTCAGAAACACCAAAATATTAGTTACCAACTTCTGCCAGCAACCCAATATTATATAATGGGTATTTATCAAATAAAATAATAAGGTAAAGCATATAAAACTCTTGAAGAAAAATGCCAGAAATTAATTCAAAGGTATTAAATAATAAGTAAATTTTATTCAAGTATATAAACAAAAATAACTCGCATATTAAATTTTTTTTTTTCACCATTAAAAGAAGTGTTTTTGAGTTATCAAGAATTTTTGTTGAAAATACAGTTTTCACAAACAAGTTTCCTTTTTGGTGTGTATTTAAACTATACTTTCACGTTTTAAAAATTGTTTTAATGTTTAAACGACATTAAAATGTCACCTAGCTGTTGATGTTGTTTAAATATTTAAAAATCCTGTCTCTTTTGAATATCTTATTCTTTTTGTACTATACAAAGATTGTACTATACAAAGATTATTACATAAATTAACATTACCACATAAATTAATTACCACTGTATGCTTGAAATCTTACCACTGTATGCTCGAATCCTTTAACTTTTGATGGAATATTTTCTACCCATATACCGGTACTAAAAGATTAAAATTAATTTTTAGCAAGTAATAAATAAGTAAAAATAATTTGTAAATACAATTTTAAAATAAAAGTACAAAGCTTTTTATAAATATTTTACTTTCTTTTTTGGATATTTCATTTAAAAAATGGGGACAAACAGATATTGATTTAAAAACAGGGTTTGAACCCCTCCACTTTCTAAATTAAACTTGTCAAACTTAATTCACCTTCAGCAGCTATTTCTATTTGTTTTTTTCATCTTTCTATTTCTTTTTCATCTATTTGTGTTTCTATTATTTCTTTTTCATCTATTTGTGTTTCTATTTCTTTTTTTCATCTTTTTTACAAGAAAAATCTTGAGCACAAAAGCTTTTTAATTTTTTTAGGTCAGGTTCAGAATCATCATAATTACTCTGATACTAGTAAAATGTAATCCAGTACAACCTGCCTCATGTGTTGCTTGACCTTGTCTTGACAACAGCTATAAAAAGTAAAAAAAAAATACCCCTGTCTTAGGGCTATTGGTTGAGTAAAAGACAATAGATGGTGTCTTGATAAAAATACTCATCTAGGGCAGATGTTAACTGCATCAAGATACTATCTTGTAGAAGACCTCCTAGACAAAGACTTTCTGGGTAACCAGATAAATTATGTTGACCAGTTATGTACCCTTTTTTCGTCTATTAGGCTAGCATAGATGCTAAACTGTGTTTCAATTGTTCTTAGAGAGGCTGGTTCCATCAACATCAACTGTAAAATATCATATTTTGTGAAGATTTCATACAAATAACTTTGAAAATAATAATTAACCAAAACCTTTTATACCAAAATCTCTATTTTTTACATTTAATTTTTTTTTTCATAATCTTCAAATCTACTTAATAGCTAAAATCCTTCAAATAAAATCTACTTACCTAATAATTAGATACTTGCAGGTGTAAACTCCACTTTTTTTATCTTTTAAAATGTACTTGTTATTCTTTTTCGAAACATCCACAATGTATGTGTTGTATTGAACTTTTAGCTTGAGTGTTTCTGCATAATCCTTAAGATACTTTACCTTTGAAATATAAGCATCAAAGTATAAATTATAACTATACACAATTATAAATTAAAAAAAACATTTAAATATATAATTATTTTTTTAATAATAGAATAATAATAAAAGTTCAAATTTACTGCTGAACATTTTTACTATTTAACTTTGAATTTACTAAAGTTATTATTAACTAAAACTACAAAACATACCAATGTATCAGCATGGGGAAAAAAATCTTTTGAATATTTAGTGAATAACAAGCTATCATTATCACTGAGAAGTGAATTCCAATCATGTCTAAGATTAAATTCTTTGTTTGTTTTCCCTAAAATTAAAATGTTTAAAATAGATAATATTGTGAAATTTCTAAAAATGCTGAAATTTCTTTTTTATTTTTCAAAAAACTTAACATCAACTTTTAATTTCTAGACTTTACAATAGCATCTTTTAATTCATGTAATAAACCAAAATTTTTTAAAGATGACGTAAAACATAAAGACCTAGTTGTTTATGATCTTTTTAAAAATGACGTAAAAAATAAAGACCTAGTTGTTAATGATTTCTCTAGGACTACATCTGAAGGCAAATTCCATAAAATTGTGGATAAAACGGGTGCTTACTAAACTATCCTTTTTCAAATAAATAGAAAAATAACTAATCCAGACTTGTTTCCAGTCCAATCAAAACTAATTAGGCTTCTGGATAATCTAGTTTTATATTATTTTGGCTTAAACTTAAAGTTTAACTTTGGACAAAAAAATTTTATTTAGATATTTCTTAATTTTTACTCAAACTATTTAGTTGTTGCATATTGTTAATGCCAGGTGCAAAAATCTAGCTGAAAATTGGCTTATCTTAACAGCATGGAAAATAAGCAATCAAATGATCAATGTTTTTTTGGACGGTCAAAACTTATAGTTTTTTTATTTTAATTTTTGTTAAAACTTTTTCTTCATAATAGTTCTTTAAAAAACAGCCATAAATGAACTTTAATTATGCAGTTTTCATATTATTTTGATAATAATAATTTTAACTTAAACTATAAAGTTTTTATATTAGTTATTATAAAGTTATTATAAAGTTATTATAATTATAAAGTTTTCATATTAGCTTTAATTATAGAGTTTTCATATTATTTTAATAATAATAATTTTAAATAAAATCAATTTTTTTTTTTTTAAAGTGTAAATGGACAATTGATAATTTTTAATTGATATAAAAATAATTCATTTCATTGACTTCCCAAATGGTGGGAAAAGCTACGAGTAATTAAAAAGATTAAATGAAAAAAAACAAAGCACACTTGAGATTATGTTCTTAATTACATACAACAATTTTAAATAATAATAAAATAAGAACTTCAATCTCTAAAGTTAAAAAAGAAAAACTAACTAAAAAAAATAACAACAAAAAAATAGCGCACATTTTATATCTCTTGTTTATAAAAAAAAATTTCAAAAACTGCTAATATCATTTAGTTAATAATAATGTTATTCGAACATTCAAAGATACTATTTAACTAAATACTAAGAAAACAGTTTTATGAATACTACACTAAAAAGAACTTGTTACATAAAACAAGATTTTACTAAATATAAATACTTTTAACAATCCTATTGCAGAAAAAGAAGCGCAAACACACAATTAGTAATTTTTAATTTATTAAATATAATTCATTCATTTATTTCCAATTTGCAGCAAAGATTACAAGTAAATAAAAAGATTTAAAGAAAAATAAAACCAATTTACTAAGTGCATTTGAAAGAAATGATCTTCTTTGTTAAATATATAAATTATTATAAATCTTTATATTATAATTAAAATAATATATTAAATACTTTTATTAAAATAATAATAAAAACAAGACTTTCAATCATTTGAAAAAATAATCAACAGTCATATGAAAATAGGACTTTCACCATCAGTAAAATGAAAGTAGTTTAAATAAGTGAAGCAAAAAAGCCTAATAAAAACATGTCAATTGCAATAAGTGATTTACACTGTGTATAATAGTTGTCTACAGACCAAATTAATGGGTTCAGGATTGTTAAAGCAAAAAAATTACATTAACACACAATAATTATTAGATAAAAAATTTAACAGATATAAATTTAATACATATTTAAATATATTTTAAGTAGTAGAATTGATTATATAAAATTATTATTAGATAATTAATTTTTAATTGTATAATTATTAATTTAAAGCAACCTTTTAAAAATAAAGATAAAAACTAGGCAGTATTAAAAAAATAAAACTTGCTTTAACATCTTTTGGCTTTTAAACTTTTTGCTAGCAATTAAAGTAGCATATCATAAACAATAAACAATGAATGCTTTTTTAAAATTTAAATAATTTTATGAAATTTTAGTATATGCATTTTCTAAATAACATACTGATTATTAGTCAAATCTTGTTTTTTAAACTCTGAATTTTTTCAACTGGTCAATTATTTCCGGTAAGAATTCATTTTATGAGGTCAAAATAGCAGTTTTAGTCATTTTGGGTGGTCATTGACCCTTGATGGGCCATTATTTTCCACGCTGCTTAACAGTGCAATGATTCTAACCACTCAGATTGTAATATGATATCAACAATTCAATGTTGAAATCATATTACAATCTGAATAATCTCATAATAAACTTTAAAAAATTAAAGTTTTTAATTTATATATTATTAAAAAAATTTGTATAATGTCGATTTCTTATTAAAAAGAGTGCCATTTTTAAAGATTAATTAGAATTTTCAACTTTAGACGTAATTTTGTTGTGACATTTGTGATTATTTTTATTATTAGTTTTTTTGTGTTGTTTTTTATATAGAAATTTCTTTGCTTTTGCTGCAAGCAGCTTTAAGTTGAGCGCCAGAAGTTAAAGCTGTTAATGCGCAAGAACAAAGAAACAGCATTAAAAGAACCTGATAGACTTTAATTCATCAAAGAAATATAGACTTTAATTCATCGAGAACTCTCCTAAAGATATATGCGAGCATAAATGGGTATATACATAATACATACATACATACATACATACATACATGCATACATACATACATACATACATAATTAAATTCTGTCAAAAGAGTACTCTGATTAAAACGCCTTAAAAGAAGTTCAGAATATTCATTAACGCAGAAGAATATTCATTAACGCAGAAGAATATTCATTAACGCAGAAGAATATTCATTAACGCAGAAGAATATTCATTAACGCAGAAGAATATTCATTAACGCAGAAGAATATTCATTAACGCAGAAGAATATTCATTAACGCAGAAGAATATTCATTAACGCAGAAGAATATTCATTAACGCAGAAGAATATTCATTAACGCAGAAGAATATTCATTAACGCAGAAGAATATTCATTAACGCAGAAGAATATTCATTAACGCAGAAGAATATTCATTAACGCAGAAGAATATTCATTAACGCAGAAGAATATTCATTAACGCAGAAGAATATTCATTAACGCAGAAGAATAAAAATAAAAATTTATTTGACTCAAGATGAGATGTGAGGAATTTGTTAATCAAAGACTCAAAGACCTTGCTAATAACAGAAAGAAGACTGATCGAACGATAATTGGAAGGGTCAGAATTTTCTCCAGAGTTTTTGAATATTGGAACCACAGATGCCATTTTCCAACAAGCAGGAAAACAAGACTCAGTCAAACACTTGCTAAATAGTTTAGAGAGAATTGAAGAAAGTTCTGGAGAACAATTCTGCAAGACTGTGACAAGAATGTTGTCTCGACCACAAGCTGTAGACAAGTTTAATTGAGATATGACTTTAGCAACAGAAGCCGGAGTGATTTGAATGTCTAACAATGGGTCAACCTGTTTGACTGGAATGGAAGGAAGAGAATGTCCATAAGATTCAAGAGTGGAATTAGAAGAAAAGTTCTTTGCAAATAGTTCTGCCTTATCCTTGGGAGAGGTAATATGATCAGTCCCATGAATGAGAGATGGAATGTTAGATCTACCCTTGTTAACAATGCTGTTGAAGATTTTCCACAAGTCTTTAGAGCCTAACTTCTGCGATAAGATGCAAGATTTAGTGAACTGAGAATAATGGAGTTTAGCATCAGAAAGCACCTTTTTACATCGATTTCTTGCAATAATAAATAGCTGTTTGTTCTCAAGAGAGTTGTTCTTTTGAAAAAGATGAAAAAAATGATTACGATTGGATATAGCAGCCGCACAAGAAGGAGAAAACCATGGAGTAGAATGAGGCTTGACTTAAAACCAACGAGAAGGAATAAAAGCTTCCATTCCAGCCTGAATCCAGGAGGTTACATAGGAGGCGCATTTGTCAGCTGAGAGAGAAAAAACATCAGCCCAAGGACCATCACGAAGAAAATCACGAAAGGAATCCCAGTCAGCTTTAGGGTAGTAGTAGGTGGTGCGATGATAAGGTGAGCCTAAAAAAGAAGTACGATAAGAAAGATTTATAGAGATCATTGCATGGTCAGAACCACCTAAGGGAGAAAAGGGAGAAACTGAACATAAGCTAGGGTCAGAGACAAGACATAAGTCAAGGAGTGAAGGTAAATGATTAGGGTTGTCAGGAAAACGAGTCACAAAGTTAACTATCTGAGCAAGAGATTGAGAAACGCAGAAGTTAAAGGCTTTAGTGCCAGCAGGATTAGTGGTGTTGGAGCCAAGCCATTCAGTGTGATGGGCATTAAAATCACCAACAACAACAATATTGGCGATAAAGAACAAAGAGAAAGGTGATAGAGTGAAGAGGTGCTAGGCGAAAGCACATAAAAGAATGGTCAAAGGATTCGAACCTGATTTCATGACAAATAGGGGAATTAATGTGTATATATACCCCTAAACCTAGCATGTGACTATTGGAGTCTTTACGAATCAAAGGATAGTACCCATCAACACTGACATCTGAAGAAGGAATTGCAGAATTTAAATTTGTTTCACTGAGTGCAAGCAAGTCTGGTGAATTTTGCAGGAGGTAAGACTCAACTGATGGAAAGTTGCTTCGTAGACCGCGAATATTTGTAAAAGATATATTAAAATATTTAGGTGGTGGGGATGGTTTTTTAGGTTTTAAATTTTTGCTTACTTTGGTCATGATTTGGCTTTAATGAGAACTTGACTCATTCATAGATAGAGCACAGCCTCCTAATCAATGAGCTATGCAGTTGTCTCAGTCCTGTTAATTAACCCTAAGCCGTGACATAGGGCTCCTTATGTGGCCTTGACAATGCACACCAAAAGCATTAACAGGGACACCATCCATGTGCAACATGGCACTGTTAATACTCTGATATTTTGCAGCTGTTGATGGAATCAGCCTCTCTGAGAGCTGCCACAGAGTTCGGGAAACCTTACTACCAGCCGGCCTCAGAACCATTAAACTGAGTTTTAGAGCTGTACCCACATATGGAGATAACAGGAAGAGTTGCATAGCCATTATCAAGGAGGCATAAGCAAAATTCTATGAGTAGAGTCAAGGAGATCCAGCATTCACCATCCTAGGCAGGAAACAATGTAACACAGGTTACATCTACGCCAGCCTAATAGATGAAGAAGGGGTTCGAGGCTGGTTAGCAGAATTTTTCTGCTTACCCCTAAAGTCTTTGCCTAGGAGGCCTTCTACAAGACAGTAGCAGGATGCAGTTAACATCTGCCCAAGATGAGTATTTTTATCGAGACACCATCTCTAGCCTTTACTCAACCAAGAGCCCCAAGGCAGGGGATGTTTAGCTGGATGCAGTTAACATCTGCCCACGATGAGTGTTTTTATCGAGACACCATCTCTAGCCTTTACTCAACCAAGAGGCAGGGGAATTTTTAGTCGGAGTTTATTTCTCCTAGCCTTTGCATAAGAAGAGCACACTCTGCAAGGCAGCAGGGCTTGTGGCAGGTGGTATTGGGTTACGTGATACCAGTAGCAAGATTGATCTTGATTATCCTGACCTGACCTGGAGTAGTTAAAAGGAGTTACTTCCCGCAACAGTACTTTGAGAAAACCAGGCATGACATTTTGGAAGTGCATTAGGAAAAACACTGCATCTAACAAAATACAGGAGTCTAAGGTGAGTGTACGTTTTGTAGTTGGAGTAAGTAGTTAGTTACTGGGCTCACGCTGCATTAGAGTATAAACAGAACACAAACAAACATAAATATAAATCAACTTACGGGTGAGTCAAAACCGCGCCAGAGGTTCAGACAGAACACAAACATACATAAAAAACATAAAGTAACTTACGGGTGAGCGAACACCGCGCCAGAGGTTCAGACAGAACACAAACATACATAAAAAAACATAAAAAACATAAACATAAACATAAAGTAACTTACGGGTGAGCAAACACCGCGCCAGAGGTTCAGACAGAACACAGACATACATAAAGAACATAAAGTAACTTACGGGTGAGTGAACACCGCGCCAGAGGTTCAGACAGAACACAAACATACATATAACGTAGATTACAGGTGAGCTAATACAGTAACTAAGGCACCTCCAACTATATGGGGGAAAAGAAAAAAAAAAAAAAAAAAAAAATTACTATAGGCATGACTGATATAAGATAGTACTGATGACAGGAAGAACACTCCTTCCAGCCTTTGCTTAGATAGCAAATCCTGCAAGGCAGCAGAACATGGAACAGGTTGCACTGGGTTACATGTTACCAGTAGCAGGATGATCATGAAGACCATAGTCCTGACCTGACAAGGGTCAGGACTTAACTTTTTAAATATGAATATTCAAAAGTTTTGTTAAAGATAAAATTGTAACTTTGTCAACTTGATGTTTTCAATTGTTATTGTTATTATTGTTACCATTATTATTATTATTATCATTATATATATATATATATATATATATATATATATATATATATATATATATATATATATATATATATATATATATATATATATATATATATATATATATATATATATATAGTATAACTCACCTGTCCATCTCTTATTAATAGAAATTAGTTGACGATGACGAGGATAAATTTTAAAAAACCAGCCTATAAGAAAAAAACAATAATATACTTTGATTTGGGGATCCAAAGATAGGAGAAAATAATTAAATTTATTTAATATTTAAAATAGTTAAATTTATTATTTACTTTATTTAACAATTGAATAAATTACAACTAAAAACTTGTTACAAAATTGAGAATTTAGATTTTAGCAAAAAAAAAGTATTTTTATTTCATGATAATATAAGTAATCTTCATCTTTATATTGCATAAATTTTTTAAACTAAAATTTATGCAGTAAAAATACGCTTTATAATTTTAACATAAATTTTAATTTGCATCATAAATGATTTTTTTGTCATTAACAATTTTTAATTTATTTTATGAATTAAATACATAACTACATGAACATACTTGGACTGACTTATAGGAAGAACATGCAAGAATCGTACATGTATATGTACATTAGGGTGCGTCATTTTTCAACAATTTTTTCAAACCAAATCCCAACCACCTGGATTAGTTAAACATTGACATAAAATACCAATTTTTTTTTCTATGAACTCTAAAAGGCCTAAATATTAATTTGGAATTGGTTGGGAAGTTTACAATAAAAAAATATATACTAAATTAAGTCAAGAAAAATAGCTTAAAACGCACTAACTTAATTTTAAGTATATTTAAATAGAATGATGCTTGCAATTGAATTTAACTCACGTGTGTCACAAACAAACAAAAACTTTCTTTTTCAAACTATTTATTCTAAAAAAATTAGAAAAAATTAAAAAACGAATTCGTGCCATACTTCAACTTAAGCTAAAAATATTTCTTTTATTATAAACTGCAATTTATAACTTTTACTTTAAAAATCAAAAATAAAATAAAGGTTTAAAAAAAAGTAAAGATGCTACCAAAAATTACAAGATCACTTTCAAAGACATTTTTATTTGAAGAAAAAAAAGTGTTAGAAAAACTTTTTGAAACACAGTTTGCCACAAATGAAGAAATTATTCTTCATTTTCATTACAGGTATGATTAAAACATTAAACTGATTAAAAATTATCATTCAATATATTCACCAAGTAATTAAATTTCAGTTTGAAAAATGAAATATATAAGATCTAAATTTAATCTTAATAACTCAGGTGCCTGTTAGACAAAAATACTCCTACCAAAATTTTGATTGATGAATTTGCTTTCCAAGATAAAACAATGTCAGCATGCTTTAAACTAGCAACTTCAGAACTGTATCCATTTTGCTATAAAGAAACCGTGGATCGATGGAGGATATTGGACGGCAACATATTTCATTACAAATACATCAGGTTTGCTGAATAATCTATAGAGTTTTTTTATATTTACTTTTGACTTTTAATTTTACTTTTGCTTATAATAATTTGTTAACATGACTCTTTTCACTCTGCCTCATTTATGAGGCTACATTAAAAAGCAATTAGAAAAAAATTAAATAAATATTATATGTTTTAGGAAACTATTAAATGATCTGGTTGAAAAATAAAAAATAAAAATAAAAAAGGCGATACAGCAGAATTAGCTAAAAACATCTTTAAAAAAAATGCTAAGAAAGTTTTTTGGATTGGAAAACCTGATATTTGCTCCAATTTTGAAGAAGAAACATGGAAACAACCAAACAAAATTTGATTAATAATCAAATGAAGAAAAAGTAAAATGATATTTGGTGCAAAGGATATTGCCGAATGCTGAAAAAGATAGAAGAAAGAAGATTTTTAACATTTATTGAGCAACAAGAGGATTAAACTGACAAAATTGAGTTTTTATCATCAGAACAAAGTGAGATCTCTTCTTGTCAAGATTCCAACTATTCAGCAGGTGAAATTATATTAGGTACTAGTGCTTTAACAGTATCAACTAAAAATTTGTAAAAGAAATTGCAATTACAGGTGTTTCTAGCAATATTATATTTTATTAGAAACACCTGAAATTGTAATAATACAATTACAATTTTATATATTATTATTACAATTTGTACCTGTAATTGTAATAATACAATTACAATTTTATATATTATTATTACAATTTGTACCTGTAATAATAATATATAAGTCAAAGTAAATTTCCAATAATCGCACTCTTTGATGAAAAAATCTTGCAGGATATTACTAACGGCACAAAACAAAAAAGAGATTGTTTTGCTGTTCTTGTAAATATCGATGATGATTTAAGACTTCTTGGCATTCCGCCTATGAAAAACGGTACTGGAAAATCTCATCATGATACTTTAATAAACATTTTTGATGAATATAAGCTAAGAATTTATATAAAGGGTCTGTGCTTTGACACAACTGCAACTAATACAGAAAAATATTCTGGCACAAACATAAGGTTTTGTCAAACACAGGGTTCAATTATATTACAGCTTGCATGTCAAAGACATGTTTACAAGCTTCACTGTAAACACTTTTAGTAAAAAGTTCACATTGGTAAAACTTATGCTCCTAAAAATCTGATGTTCAAAGTTTCCAAGGTAATTGGAACGCAACAAAGGAAATTATGGATAAATCAAAGTTCAAAAAGTTTGACAAAGCAGCACTTAAAGGAACTAATCTAGAAAAACACATCAAAAAATTGTTCAATTTTGCAAATATGCACTTGCCAATTTAGTATTTCCAAGAGGTGATTATAAAGAACTAGTAGAACTTACACTCACCTACTTATGTCTAGATGTAAGCTTTAATGTTTATGCTCCCGGATCAGTTTCCCATTCTCATTTTATGGCAAATTCTATATATTATCTTAAAGTTTTAAGTAATCAGTTGCCCTGCCAATTGACAGCTTGTTTACAAAAAAGAAATCAGTAAAACAGCAGAATTTTTTTCTATATTTTATATTGTGTGGCTTGTGCGCTCCTCTTTAGTTTTCTCTGCACCTTATCAAGATTTAAATGTGTACTGGCAGATGGTCCAGTATAAACGATGGGTAGAATCTTATGATCCATGAGCTAATGAAGTTCTAGAGAGAATTGAAGAAGTATTGAAATCAATGGAGAGACATACGTGATATTTGGATCAAACCTTGATTCCATTATGTCTCGCAGATAAAGAACTCAAAAATGATGAAAAGAAAAAGTCGCAAAAGTTCTTTTCTGGCAACCTGTTTCTACTCACTATGAGAAGTCTGAAATACCAATCTTTATGTAAGATCTAGACTTCACCCAGGAGAAACCACCTAGCTTGTCACAGTTGGTTGGTAGGAACTCGTGGTTTATTTTCAATCTGTTAAATTTGAGAAAAGATGATGACAAACCTTGGCTGAACTGTAATTCATCTTTTTGGGGCTTTATCAACTAATTTAAAACTTTCATTGAATTTGTTTGCCAAATATATGTCGTCAATGACTGCTCTAAATGAGCAATTATACTTGTGTTAGTGTTTGTTAACTCTGTTCACAATGAAGAGGACAGACAAGATTTATTGTTGGCCATTCAGCATAGTAGGGATCAAATCAGGGAGTTCAAAAAAGTACAAACTACGGAGAGTGGCAAAAATAAATGGTGCTGACAAAGCAAAGTTTAAAGAATATTCATTTGATTTTTCACAAAAACATGAAGAAAAGTTTGTTGAGTTATAGTTTTACAAACTGTTTTTGAAGAAAATTTTTTCTTGATTATTTACTAATTTATCACTATTGAGCTAAACAATATCGTTATTTTTTTTTTTTAGCAAAAAATTTATTATTTTACCTTAACTATCCCAGCTACATGATATTCAGCAAAATAAAATTAATTCATTAAAACAATTATTTTGCAGCGCCTATAAGAAAATCTAATAAAACTATATGTAAAAATAAAACTTCAAGGCAGATAGTACATAAATATTCTGTAAAATTAATTAAAACAGATGGAGGAGGGGGTGTGAATGAAACAAACTCTCCGCAGCCCACCGCCAAACCTTCTATAGGGGGTCCCTATATTAAAAATTATTTTTAAAATTGAATTTTGGATCAAATTAATCTTTGTAAACAAGAATTCAATAAAATTTGTCATGGAATGTTTGAGAGATAAAAAATTGATCAATAGATATATCCATAAAATTACCTAAAACTTGTCAGTAAAAGTATGGCACATATTCAATTTTTATTCTTTTCTAATTTTTTTAAAACAAATAGTTCGAAAAAGAAAGATTATTTTTGTTTGTGACACACGCAAGTTAAATTCAATCGCAAGCCTCATTCTATTTAAATATACCTAAAAATTATACTAAGTTAATGGGTTTTAAGCTATTTTTCTTGACCTAAATTAGTATATATTTTTTAATTGTAAACTTCCCAACCAATTCCAAATTATTATTAAGGCCTTTTAGAGTTCATAGAAAAAAAATTGGTGTTTTATGTCAATGTTTAAGGTCCCTGCTTTTTGGTTAAAAAAGTTGGGGTTATGGTTATGACCTAAAAATGGGTTTTAAAAAAAAAATTTTAGCGTAAAATCATTTTTATCCAACCGGTCAAATAATCCAGGTGGTTGGGATTTAGTTTGAAAATTTGTTGAAAAATGACGCACCCAATTGTACATAGATATATGTTTACAGTTAATTATTTAAAGTATATGGGACTGTTAGGATAAACTAGTATCGGTTGAAAACTGAAAAGAACAAAATACCAGTAAATTATTGAGTTTTTTTTAGAAAAAATGACACAACTTAATAATTTCATAATTTTTTTCCTCCATTAATTAAAAATCTTAACGCTTATGTAAATAGATTTTATGTATGATTATAATAAAGGAGATATCTACTCTATAAAGGAGATGTCTATTTTATTAGGTAAAATTCAATCTTGAAGATTGAATTTTCATTATTATTTTTTTTGGCCTCATTACCAAAATCAAGTTCGAATACTATGACCATTCTTTTATGTGTTTTCGCACATAAAAGAATTTTTTTCCCTAAGGTAGTTCTGACCATGCCATGATCTCTTTAAATTTTTTATTTTGTACTTATTTTGTTGGTTCCAAGTCAAACCTCAGTTTACTTGATGGTTTTGACATTCTTGTGCAGCTGCTATATCTA